CGCAGGGTAACGCATTGGGCCGAGATAATCGCATTGGCCCCGGCATGGTTCAAGACAACATGCCGGGGCCCTCAACATACCATGGTCCAGTTCATCTTGCCGAAGGATAACAATATTATTGTAAATAGAATGTTTTGGAAGAAACAGGTATTTTTTACTCGCAATCAAACCAATATCGTGAGCAACACGTCATATAGATGGAATTCAGTGAAATCGCAGCCTCGACCACAAGAAGTAAGGTCGAATTCTGACCAGCTGTGCTGAACCTGAAACGCGTCACCGTCTCGTAAGTGCTGGTAAATGTAGTGCAGCGGGTCCTCCAGCACACTGTTACGGGGGAACATGACTTGTTGCTTTACACCCAGGTCGTTCAGATTTCTTGGCATTATGTAACTTGCGTCAGAACGCACTTGCTATGACCCTCGATGTGGGGGCTGCTTGGAGTGGTTTGCATCGCAAAAAACTGTCTTCCAAGCTGAACCAATAGATGTGTCTAAATTAGGCTAGCGAAAAAACCGAATAAGTGCGTTAGTCCGTAAAAAAATTAACTAACGAGTATGATGTGTATGTGAAAATCGTTGATTATCCAGCTAATTCTGGATGTCCTGATGCAGTGCTGCTGCTGAATCTGAGCCGATTAGACATCATCACGACCTTGTTCGTGCCACGTTCACAGATTAGTCTGATCTGTTTAAATCACGTGGCCTTGATGACTACTGTAATGTCCTTTGCTTTCTGCCTTTTTTGGAACAAAGCCTTGTTTAATCATGGAATTCGTGTTTAGTACCAAACACTGCATAAATGACTGCAAATACACCAAGACGAGGACTACCTGCCCATTAACTACATTGTTTTGTCATTAGAAACATCTGTAACTATCGAAAATTCATTCTGAATCAGTGTAACTTTGGTTCGTGGCTCGAGCTCTGTTTCAGTACATGTAGCCGAGGTATATTTGACGACGTCGACCTTTAATTAGCGAAAAAGGGTCAGAAATAGGCAGTGGCTTCTCATTACAAGTCACCTACACATCGTCCCATACGTACCTAGGATGAATAATTTAATAAACAAGCAGACACCGTCAATTGCCTGCAATGATATCAATGCCACATAAGACGAATATCAACCTGTCATTAGAAACCGTTAAAAATTCTTTATGCATGAGAAGACTAGTGTAAAAATTTGCGGAGATGTTTCCTCACTCGTGAATGACCAGAGAGCTACGAATATTTGGGAGGCACTACGACACGTACACGGTCACGACTGCAGAGTTGAAGCTTCATCGGAGTAACATCGAACATTACGGCAGGTGATTGTAGCAGCAAGAAGAGCGCAATGAATTGTTTTTTTTAATCAGTACAAAGTAAACGTTGGCAGAAAGACGGCATTTTCGAGCTGATTGCATCCACCAGGATTGCTTCAAAATAGTTCAAAGCAGTGGAACATTGTAGAAGACAACCAAAGGATTGGTATCCTTCGACGAATTCGGAAGATTTTGCTCTAACGTTGCAAGAATGGAAAATTCCTGAACACGTAACTGGTGACTTGTATCACATCAATAATTTACTGACTATCTGCGTTGATTTCACTGGCTCTGAATTCGGGCAGATGCGGAACTTCGTTTGAGTACATGTTTACTTGTAGGACTGGGTCTTCCCATTATTCCTTATTGACATTTAAATCTACATATAATAGTTGGGACACACTTCCTTTCATTGAGGAAACTCCCTTTATGTTGTTTACTGGGCATTTGCTTCTGTCAAATCACTGATTAGACGTACATGAGCAATACAAAAAGGCAAGCAAGGAGTTTCCTGTGCTCGGCTTTATATCAACCACCACTGTACCTCGTTAACTAATTTCATGAAAAATATTGACATTTTATGGCTATGCATTTACGCAGTCTTCAAGCACATCCCTTAACAGTTGGCTGTGAAATCCTTCCCGCATTACACTGTGCATTACGACGTTTCTGAGTAAACGAGCAAGGTAATCTGCATGGCCCAATGGGCGTTAATTGAATGAATAATGAGCGTCATGTACCTCTCCAGACTTAGCGGCATTTGTGCTAGTCAGGGTATTGTTGGATGAGCAAACACATTCATTCAGTGTTTTCATTTGCGTGAATTAGACACATCCATTGGTTCAGCTTGGAAGAAGCGATGGCAAATTTACATTTTAAGATGAATTAATCAAAGACTCGGCTCTTTGCGATATAAACCGTTACAGTTACAGCGGTAGTAATTTTTTTATTCTCATTTGTAATCACCACGGGATAATATTAACTTCATTTAAATTTGCACACTGGTTATGTATCAAGTTTTAATTCGCTGTACACAGAAAAAATAATAACGTTTGCATGTGGAATTAAATTTTCAAGCTCTGCTTAAAACTATCCCGATGAAATAATTCCAAATTTTGATATAATTATTACTGAAATTAACATATTCGTAGTATGATAATGTGCAGAATATTCTTGCTTTGCGCTTGCAGTCTGTGGTGTACATATGCTAATTTTGCAAGTGCAAATTTCTGAAAAGAATTTTATACAATTTCTATTTGGTGTTTATTTGAAAACTGCGAAGTAACTACAGGTCATGTCATGTCAATCCATAACGTATAGCATGGTTTAATCATTCAAAATACTTTCTGACATATTTGTTTTGCCATTTTGCATTCTTCGATTGTGCTGATTTATACCTGATTGGTAAAAGGAAAACCAAATCTACGATTCTTGGTTGTCAATTTTGTCTCTTATTGCAGTACAATTTCAGCCATTTCTGTACTGTGATCTCAAATGATTGTAGATGCATTGTAACGCGAACATCGTTCATATAAAATGCTGACATTCAAAGAAATCTCTGGACCATTCCCATTCATTTTAGGAATGATAATTATCCGAATTGAACTAAAATGAAATGGTCTAACCTCGCATTTTTAAGGCTGCAATTATTCCTGGAAAATCTTCTTACTGACAAGTGCAACTAGACTTTAATCGTCATTACAAAAGTTATTTCTAATTTATACTAGAGAAATACCACTGTGATGAATGTTACCTGGTAGTTTAATTAGAGCCGAATTGAAGGCTTACTATTTGCTACATTGAGCAGACGTCCAGCTCTCAGAGGGTGTGCTTTTAACAATCACGCGTGTTCTTTTGTAAGCAGAGCATATATGAAGAATCATGAGCTTTAAAGTAGATTTTTCAGTTGTTTTTTTATAACATTTGCTACCCTATAGATAGTGTAATTCGTGGTCATTTGCGTAAAGTAAAAAAATAATTACTTAAAAATAAAATGCTAAATGCAAAATATTTTAATGAAATTGCAGCATATTTTAATTATTTGTTTGTTTTACTTTTAAAAGGCATAATTTGTTGCCGAATTATTTGACCCCTTCTCTTTGAACCAATCACTCGGAGCATATCTTTGTGCGTAAATGCTCGACGCCGACTCCGTTTTTGAGCGTCTCGTAAGTGATTTTAATTTATTTTTGAAAATTTTAGCTAAGGGAGGCGACAAATTTAGTGCCAAAAATGAGCACACCAAAATTGTCGGCTGCTTTAAAGGTATCCTCCACTTTACAACAACGTATAACTGATACGCTCTCTACTCGGTAATGTTCCTTAGCCATACACTCTCATTTTTATCGTAGATTACGACAGGAGGAAGGTATTGTTTCGGGTGTCCAAGCGAAAGCTTTTGGTGTGCAAGGTGTCCAGTCCATAGTGAGAACTCCCATGCTCTCTGATGACATAATATCTGATAACACATTCCTTGCACCGAATGATGCGGTAAGCGTAATTTCACTACGGGCTTGAAACTGTTCTCTCTTATTACTTTTTGTTTTAACACTACCTGTATGATCCATGAGTTGCTTCTGATCTTTTTTAACTCTTGGAAAGTGGTTCGAGGTCTTCTATATTAAAAAATGAATGGGTTCTGGATTTTACGTGGCTTTATGCGTTTTCTTCGCTATAATTTTATGTTTTTTACATGTTCAGCAATTTGCTAATCGGGCCGTGTCTTCTGCAAATTACACCGCGATTCCATTTTTCCCCCAACTTAACCAGTTCGGTAAGTGATCTATTGCTATAATGAAATGCTTTCCTAATATATAACGTATTCGAATAATTATTTTTCGATTAAGTTGATAAGCATGAGAGTTCCGACTAAATTTTGCACCACAAAAACACGTAAATGACTGTTTCTTAAAACAATGAATTGATATCTTCTATTTACCGGAAATAATGGTACATATTGTGTTCCTCTAGCCGAAAATCATCTTATGACTATTATTCGTACTTTTAACTCAAATGTCATTCCTTTTTTGTATTATTTTCCTCAAAGTGGCCTTCGTTGTGTGGGTTCACAAATGGGTTCAATTTAAATGTGTCCTTGTCTTTTGTGCAGGTTATGGACATTTATTTATGACCACAAGCCAATTATTTACCCTAATAAGGCACTGGGAATCCATACCTATCAAAAAATGTAAATATCGATTTCCTTAAATGTGTAATCCATAATGCTGCGGCCTATTCGTTGTCATTTAATTGATGCCTGCATTGCCACCTATACAGTTACGGCTCTTGCTAGTGTTTTGCCTTGTAAGTGTGTGCTTGTGGTTTTGTTAAGTCTTCTTACCTTTTTAGTTTGCTCACCGTCTCATTTTAAGTTGTTGTGACTTGTTACGTTTGGTATTCCCGTTCCTGTTTTGATTTATTGAAGCGTGTTAAAACTATTGATCTCACTTTCAACTTAACTTAGAAATCAAAATTATTAATCTTTTCTGCTACTTCACTTCTAGTGTGTAATTAGACCGGTCCATTAAAAGATGCGATTTCATTCAAAAAGCGCCATTTTTATAACGTCAGTTCTAGACTCATTTCTGGGGTATAGATGTTCTTAAACGACGATATATGGTCACGGAACTCGACCTTTTCACCACTAGTTGCTTCACTCTGAGACCATCAGGAATTCAAAAATCGGTTAAGACGTCCTGACTTCCCTTGTTAATATAGTTGCGAGTAGCGACACTAATCATAAATGGCAAACGTTTGCTTGCCATATAAAACATGGCACTTCTTTTGATACTACACTTGATTAGACTTCCTAGAATTAACCCTGGTAACTCACTAGCGCAGTTTTACATAACTTTAGGCTATCTACTACTGGAATTCATTTGTACTTACTCCTATGATTTAGCTATTTTCCGTTCATGAGGTTGGTCATATTTCATGCCCAACAGAACACGATTTAATTAAGTATTCATATGGATACGTGTAGTCACATTGCATGTACATACTAAGAAATCCTTCGTTTTGGACGTTGAACCACCAATGAGTATATCTAATTTTCAGGATGATCCTACTTTTTCGATTGCTTAAGCGAGTCAAATCACTAATTCGGCCCAGTCTAAGCTTGTGATTGCCCCTCAGTCTCGACACTTAGCCCTCTCAGTTTCGTAGCCTGCTGATTTACGAATGTCAGGTGGCCGTCCGAACGCAATCTCTCAATTCGTACCCTCCCCCTCGGACCCGGAACATCGTGACATACTAGTGTACCTGCCGAGGCACGTCAAGTTCTGTCGATTTACTATCCGACGTATCCATAAATCGAAACCCAGGGCCAGTTTTCAGCTTACGGAATTTAAAGAACGAGGTTATCTTTGATATTCATACCACCTGTAAATAACCCAAGCGAACGCAAAACCGCCACGGTCATGGTGTGCACAAGTAGGCAGCTTAGACTTGGCAACCACAGGCAGAGGTCAACACACCACCGACCACGCATTCTCAACTGAGTGCGCGCGCGTTCATCTGGCCTTTTTCTAACGCGGACAGGCGCCTGCGTGTCTGCCTTTCGCAAGACGATTGGCTGTTTATGCCCGTGCCCATACTTCCCCCTAAGTGGATGTGATGTGACTGCGTGCGTCCGTGCGCCTGTCAGTACACCATGTGTTTGTGGCTATTTTGGGGCTAAGGAGTCCGCTTCTCCCAAAGCTCTCGGGCGGTACGGTAGCGACCACACCAAAAGATTCCAACTTGTCTCCGATACACTTGAGTTATTTTTCTCTGCAGCACTTTTGTGCGCATAGATCTAACCTGAGAAGTTAAATTACCTGAGCTCTACTCCTCGACCTCACTTTGAAATCAAAAGGAGGTTACTGTGGATTAACACAGGCTCCGGATCGAGGTATCCATAAAATTTGTTTTGTAGTGAGTAAGGCCTTCCTAATTTGCACAGTTTTGTCCATGTGTAATTGTGATGCCTTTGAGGGTTAAATTAGATCCATTTCTGTCAATCGAAAGAGTGATTCGGGCCCACAAGAACAGTTCTTCATGCCTTTAGATGTCTGGTAAAAAATGCGGATGTTCAGTTTATTTTTAAAACTGCGTTTTTTGCATGTCGGTTGGGTTGCCCGTGTATGTATGCATCCGTTCGCATTTGCAGTTGGTCAACGGACGGCTACTCTGGTGACAATAACCAACCCCCACAGTGGAGCTACATCTGGGGCCGTGGTGGGTACTCTAGCACCACCGCCTCCGTCCACCTCCGTCACTTCTGCTTCCACGACACAATCAGTTATTGTCCCCCTACAAACTCCTGCCCAGCCACCCGAAAACCCTGTTCTACAGTCACCACCGCCCTCGACAACCGATGGCTCATGTGGCCTCACTTCTGCTGCTGGCGGTACCGATGGCTGTCCCTCCCCCATGATCGCCACGGCCGTTTCAGGCATCGTCACCTCCGTTGCACCCGCCTGTGCTCCTAATGGACACATTCTTGTAGGTTTAATCTAGTAATCTTTCAGTTACCACTGTTTGTTTAAAGTGGTTGTGTTGTGCGATTAGTTCGAGATGTGTGCGTCTCCAAACCGGACGAATCCACGTACGCTAAACAAGAAAAACGGATAAATTTTAAAACGACTATCCAGTCAAATTACAGATATCGCATTTTACTCCTTTACTTACCAGAAAGCGTAGGCTCACAAGTTTGCATTCTGCGTTTGTATGTTTATAACGTGCCCTGACATGAAAATCAGCCAAGCGTTTGTCTGATGTTAGGTACTACTTCCTCGTTGCAACCTCCATTTTTGACATTAAGTCCCTCTTTTTTACCATCTAGACTGCTGCAGGCCTCGAGTGTGTTGACTTGAAGCCTGATCCAACAGCGTGTTTGTCTCGATTAGCCACTGGCGAGACTTCTCTCTTCACATCCACCACAGAATATGCCGGTACCACAATCACGACAAATTCGCCCCTCAACTTCCTCCAAGCCTCGACCCCCGTCGACACCCTCCCCTCCTCTCCCCCCATCTCCACGGCGCCCTCAACAGACGGTGTCACCATCGCCGCCTCGCCAACAAGTACTGTCGTGGCACCTACAACGACAACGGTGGTTGTCATGACGTCGGCCTCAGTGAATCAGGGCAGTGTAAACTGTGCGGGAAGTGCCCCAGCAATAAAGGTCGGTGGTTGTGGCGGCAGCAGTGCCGGTGGCCCCTATCGATGCATGCACTGTGGCAAGGAGTTCCGGGTGTTGCGTTACCTTGAGAAGCATAAAAGGATTCACACGGGCGAGAAACCTTACCAATGCTGTTATTGCGGCAGACAATTCAATGATTGGCCGAATATGAATCGACACAAACGGATACACACCGGTGAGTGGTAATGCAAAATTGTTAACCATACGTGTCTTCTTTATTTAGTGTTTCAGCCCCATCAAATATGAGACAACCAAAGTAGTTAATGACATGTTGCGTTAGTTTAACTAGTTATGCGGCCGCAGTAATCTACTTAAGGCGTCCTTGAGCTCATAGTAATTTGGTGTCTGTTCGTTACTAAAGACAACACCTAGTTGTTCCCTGTCATTTTACACTTCTTGCGCCTACACCCGAGTTTTGGAAATGCCATTTCACTAATACTGGGGACTCTTAGTTGATCAGTTCACTTCTGTTGCAGTATATCACGCTTTTACTGTGATTAGCCTTTTTACTTGTATGTGGCCCTGATTTGATCCCTCGAGAGTAACCCAATCTATATCGTTATGTCTGGAAAAAGTGACTAAAATGAAGTATGCTCTTTTATTTCAATACTGTCAGCAAAACCCAGCCGAGGTAATGAACTTTGTGTAGTGTAATAAAAGAAAAAAGAAGCAATCGGATTGATCGCAAAAGCCTCGAATTCGCTTAAACTGTTCTTGATGAAGCTGTCTACTATTAGTCGAGTCGTCTGACACGCTGTTTTTACTTAGAAAGTAAACCATTTTGGCTTTTGCAATGTGCTTTAAGCTCATGTAAAACATAGAAGCTAGTTAAGGCAGTTAACCACATTGAATATAGTGAAAAAGGTTACTTACAATAATTTTTGTAGCACTCTAACACTACTTACCTCAGTTTGTGACGGTTGGTGAAGGAATGATAATTCTAACAGTTGCTTAGGCTTGTGATCGGTTTTCTCGAATTCCTGTCGGCAGTGTAGGTGGCGGTGACAATATAGACACCCAGAGAATGATTTTGATAACTGTTCGATTCTCTTCAACTTATCGAAAAAAATGTGACTCGACAGCGAATAAAGTAGGACGTCAAGATAACGTCACCTCAATTAATTTATCAAAATGTTACTGTAGTCAGACGAGGGCCACCTGGAGGGGAAACTCACCTGATGAAGATGCATGTGGCTTGCTTTTATGTGTTAGTTGGCCGTCAAGAGCTCTTTTTATTGAATAAAGCAGTGATTGTGAAGATTATTATTTGTTAAGCTGTTTGTGAATCGTTCCACTTTTGGTGCGTTAGAACAAGCTCTCACAGAAAATTCATTTCCATCGGTAATTTCCACTGGCACCCACGATAAGGTATATTCCCTTTAAGGCAGGTGGCCATTAGGTGTGGTGAGCCATGTCTTTCCAGGCAGTGTAATGCCAGCTTAGGTAAGGGTTTCCACGTCGGTTACCAAAACGCCGACTTGCAGCCGATGGCATCAAATTGTCGGCGTGCTCCAGTTTGACGTGTCTCAGGTAGCCCGTCTCTGTAGTTCCCACCGATTGATCTCAATCAAAACGCAATTTTAATCTCTTCATTTCATTTATTACTCCTAAGGTTTCTACCCCAAAGTTCGCGTCAGTGCGTAATCGGTCCCAATTTTTCCCTTTTCGCACTTAATCCATCCACAAAACGTTTTGCATAATCGGTTGCTGTGATACTTTGGGGTCAAATTTTCGGGTACGCATCTTCGATTAAGTTAAGCATATTTAGTTCTTTTTCATTCTCACGTGATTTTTGATTTATAATGTTGTTATGGCAGCATCAGTCTTGACGTTAGTGTTGCCTTAGTTTAGCATCGCATTTGCTGTGTCTAGTGTTTGTGTGGTGTTCAGTGACCAGCGGCGCCATTGTGCGTGGTAATGGTTTGTTGAGACGCTCTCTAGCCAATTGCCTTGATGGCTGCTTGCGTGGTTGTTTAGTGCTTTATTGCGAAATCGTGTGGTGAATGTAAAGTGTAAGTCGTTTGGGTATTTTCAAAGTTGTCCTAATCAACCAATTGTCTTCACGGTTGGCCTCGGCACAGGTGAACGTCCCTACCGATGTTCGGTGTGCACGAAAACCTTCTCCCAACCGGCCGTGTACAACGAGCACATAAAGCGGCACACGGGCGAGCGACCCTACGTCTGCACGGTGTGCGCGAAGGGCTTCCCACGAGCGGCCCGCCTCGCGGTTCACATGCGGGTGCACACCGGTGAGAGGCCCTACCGCTGCCACGTCTGCGATCGACGCTTCAGTCAACCCCACCATCTGTCTACTCACGTGTAAGTTTCACCGCCATTTTGCGACACACCGTTTCTTACGCCAGCACCTAACACAAAACACGCTGTCACAAATGAGTCAGGTGTTAATTTCACCGGATAATTTTGCCGGAAATACGTTGATCATGAATTAGACCGGTCGTGGTAAGTATTGGCCGTATGAAGAAGGAAATCGTACAAAATTGTGCTAATGTTAATGTGATGCTGCTGACTTCCTTCTGCAAAACTAATGACTGGGTTTACCACTGGAACCACTTTGGACCAAGATTGCTTCCCACGTCATTAACCTGCTGCCGACGCCATGCCAATGCCCCAATGGCCTCAATCCAATTTACCTAAAGAAAGGATTCGCGTCCTCGCTTAGAAACCTGGCTTCGATTTCCAATATGATATCTAGGGCGCATCATTGTAACATCTGTATTCCACTGATCCGTGACGAAGCCGCTGTTTCCGAAGCCTGTGATTTCCTACCTGGATGGACTCCAAAATGATGTCCGCCCGTCATCTCCCTGTGTTCGAATTCTTCAGCCGAAACCCAGCGAATGAACTTATTCTGTTAAGTAGTTTGTGTAAAGACATTTTGGCAACTTTCACCTACTTCTCGGGCCTCTCAAAATTCCACTTACCTTAGTGAGCCTTTGGATGCACCTTTTTCAGACTGATGCATTCACAACAAATGATTTGTTTGAGCCTCACAAAATAAACTGTAAGTGCACAGATACCACTCCCGTGATCTTTGGCGAAGAAAGGAGCCTATGGTTATGGCAACTTGCTGTGGCACTAGACAACCTGCACCAGTTTGTTGGGATGCCTAATATCACGAGTTACCCAACAAAGAGGAAGTCGGTGGAAGGACAAAGAGTTAAACGTTTATTCGAGAACTTGACGAAGCCGTGGTCCGTGTGTGGGGTTTGTGCGTGTGTATTTACAGCTCGGATGTGTGAGTCACACATGCGCTAACATCGAGACCTAGGTGTGAGGTTAATCCAAGATACATATACGTGTGAATGAAGGGGGAATTGGAGATTTGCGCGGCTGGGGCCATGCTGCGAAAAAGGGGAGCCCTGTGTCGGAGGCGAAGCAATTGGATTAAGCAGTTGAATAAACACGATTCACAACTACTTCTATTTGTACATTTAACTACTCAAAATTCCTCATCATGTCTAAATGCTGAAGAAAAAGCGCTCATGCGTTAGCTCGAAACCCCGAATTTTTCGACCGAGACACTTTGTTCACAATCTACCGAACCATTTAAAAGCACATTAGCGGTTCACAGTGATTTTTTGTCGTAGTTTACTATATTCACATGTAAATGTGAGTTGAAAACAATTCTAACATGCTCTATGTCAACGGATTCCTTGTCGAGTAAGTCACAGTATTGTCACATCTGACTTCCCCGTTTCGATCGCTCTCTCAGTGCGGTGGGCACTATGTTGATTAAGTTTTCCACCTTGCCTCCTCAACTTTAAGCCAGTCTAGACATTTACGCACACATCATCTGGAGCGTTAGGGGCTTGGTACAATTTAAATTTCTACACATTCCTTGTACAGCCGGATTCACTCAGGCGACAGACCATTTCGGTTCACGATACGCGACAACAACGTTGGTAATTCCTCCAACTTGCGGCGTCATCGAAAGCAGGCCCATTCTGCAGAGAACCCCGCCTCGTCCAACGTCCAGCCAAAGGCACTCACGAACGTTGCTGTTAATAGGGAGTCAGCAGCAACGTCAGATGTCGCTGCAGCCCAGAGGCGGATTGTTGCTGCGGACGGAAGCGGCACACAAACGGACAGCACTTGCCCTGCCGGAACGCCTATTCGAAAGGTGCAAGTGGAATCAGCTCAGCACCCAGCAGGTGAATCTGAGTGCTATGCCATTATATTTTGACAACTTAACTAAAGAGAAGGAACTATGTAAAATGCCAGTGTACTGTTGGTAAGACTTGTGCACCCCAACCGAGCAACCCAAGTTTCACTTTAACGCGGAATGTGTATCAGTCTATATGTGTGGGTGGGCGTGATCCATGCTTCCATGCCAACATTTTTTTGGCTTACTAGACAATCTGAATTTTATTAACTTAGCTTGCTTTATGCACTAAACTAAGATTTTGTTTCGCCTCTGTCGAGTATGATTTATCGGGTCTCCGCATCACTACACATTTCCTAGCAAATGATTCTCGTCTGTCACGAGATGGTGACCCGCAGTCAGAGACGTGTTCTCCAGTGGACACATCAGCGACCGGCATTGTTGAAGGCGCAGCGTCCTCGTTGGTCGACAGGAAAGGAGTGAGTCTTAGCTCTTCATCGCCCCTCTCCTCTTCCACGGCTGCCTCAGCAGCGTCTTCAGCCCCTTCGGAGACGCTCAACTCTCAGGCACAGCATCTGTCTGCTGTTGCTGCTGCAACCAGTTCGGAGAACTTTTGTTCTCAACCCCAACCGCCACCTTCCATTTTTGATGCCAATGGCACAATTTACATTAGCACGGTACGTCTGTAATGAAATATTTTAAGCAAAAAACGTACCCCAGGATTCCCAGAAGTGGTGACTTTGTGGACTTGCAAGGAGTTGTCGACGGCTGACTTACCCCGGCTTATACTATACGATGGGACTCGAGTAAATGTCTGATCTACCTGGTCCAGCAATGTGATTCATTACGCCGTTAGGCTATAACTCGTTATCCCCTGGTTTTTTACCATGTGCACTGTCGCATTGTTTGCAACAAAACTTTTCTGTTGGTCATGTGCACCTCATGCGTTTAAATGGACAGCCGACAAGCGCACTTGCATCTCTCTGCGAGTACTAGTGAACAAAAGAATGATCCCTCAGTTTGGTGTCTAAGAGTAACTGTCATTTGTTGGGCAAAATGTTTTCACGGAAGAATGAGGAAATGGTGCATTAATCAATGAAATATGTATCTTTGGAAACTGAAACAAATCCGCATTTTTTGTTGAACGTATCCTGTAAATACAATACTTGGTTTCGCTCGACTCTTGGTGAAGTAAATGCGCGTAGCCTCTTCCCATGTGTTAGTTTATTTCAGTCACGACACAAATCGGCAGCACGACCTTGACACGACGCACTGTATAAAATCACAAGACATACAAACCTAGGATATTATCGAATGTATGTGCTTGTTTTGCTGATATTTTACCATTTTTAATAACTAGACTGACATTTGTGTGACCTCTAGAGGGTTATCTCATGCAAAAAACTGCCATTTGATTTTATCACTGCAGGTAAAGTCGTTCGAAACTACCGCTTGAAAGCAGTGCGAAATTTGTCTCGTTAATTCGAGCGGACAAGTTTCCATTGTGAGTGTTTATCATCTCGCCACGTAACCCATTTTAGATGGATGGTGCCAATGCCTCCGGGACCGTCAGCACAGCCCTGGTGCCGGCCACCTCGACAATCACCTCCACCCTTCCACAGATCCAAATTCACCACCAGCAGCCAACGGCCTTTGCCACCGCAACATTTGCTGACCCTCACCACCTACAGCCACAACCCATCCAGATCTGCTACTCCACCGCCGTTCCCGGTGCCGGAGACTCTCCGACAATTATTTTGCCCTCCAAAACGCAGATGTTTGGACCCATGCTAGTGCCTATAGGATCCACAGGCCCTCCCACACCGGCCTTTCCCTATTCAGCAAACGGCCCGACTGCCTTCCAGGCGCGAACACTCCCACCTCCTGCACCCCAACCGTCCCTGCAGTCAAGCGCAACCCAATCAGAGGCCACGCCACGTCCCACTGCCGGCGGCAGTGAAGCACCCATTCCTGCCAATGTGTAGTTGACGCTTTTCTTGCTGGCCCAAGTGTACATATACATACCTTTCTATTTGTGTTTGCGCGTGTTTAGCATCCAATTCCCTCTCATCTATCTCTCTTCTTGAGCGTCGATTTTTATAAAGACACCAGTAATGCAGACTTATCTCTTTGTTTACCAACCTCAATAACTTTACAATTTCTTGTTGAATAAATCGGCATCGAAAGTGTCAGTCCGATTAAAAAATAATGGGTTTTTTGAAGCTGCATGCTTCTTTAATGCTTATTTTTCGCCTCGCGTTCGCCATGTCTCACCTTTGGTGTGAATGTCATGGAACATTACCGTTTAAATTAAGAATGCGTTTAGCAAACTTTGATTTCCAGTCAAATTCTTACCCGTGGCTCAGAAGTAGCCGATTGACGGTTTCGAACCAGCAAAGCCTATTGTAAAGAAATATGCGTACATGTTGAGGTCTCACAAGTAGATTATGTTGATTCCATTCACGTGATCATTAATAGCTTTTGGGTCAATTTTATCCAGTGGCGAAGTTCATATCCTAATTTTGCCTTATCATTTTCTTGTCTAGGAGATGTAGTAACTCACTTAAACAGGACTATTGTGAAAATTCGGTCATGTTTAGATGTTGCAAGCGAATCCGATACGGTAATTACCTTTGCCTTACTGCACATAAGTTTTTATCAGATATTCTAATTCATTATAATTATTCTTTCTAAAAAAGTTATTGGACCTTGGTGCTGGACAGCACGATCACTTCGAGATCACCGACATGGATCCCGAACCCACACAGGAAGGGCAAGAATGCTGAATTCCGAGTCGACGGCGGCACAATGACCTCTTGGATCAAGTCCGTTGGCATCGGAATGTCATACGAGTTCGTACACACTTCCATGTCGCAGACGCGCACTGTGGTATTATTGGAGATCCACGATACCCTAAGATTGCTCATCGTTGGTTTTGGTACTATTTACACTAATTCCCTAGCATGTGTTTTATTACGTTTTTTATCAGATCAAGGTCAACCCTGACTCGAATTAGTGTTCACTTTTGACAAGTCGGTCCGCACGTGGCTGACGAGCTCTGGCCTTGTTCTCATACTATCGTGGGAATGTCGGTGCTAGCGTCAACAAGGGATCTGGTACCGTTTATTGAGTGGCTTTCTCTTTGTTAGGGGCAAACGGAACAGGAATACTCACGCACAGGTGCATGCTTAGGCGCATCCGTGCAAAAATCAGCGGCTCTAAAGTTCACCATAAGGCTCCCTGATTATGTTAGTCGTTGCCTTGTTAGTCTTTAATCGTCTCGCACCCAAAATGTGCTAACACGTGGAGACGTGCGTTCAGAACATTATAGCACTAGATTCGCTTGCAACATCCAATTAGGACTATTTTCACAAAACAGTTCTCCACCATAATCCACACATACACTGACAAGCTGCAGCCTTGTATACTTGTACACGCTTTCTCTTTCAGCTATTCTCTGTTTTTATAATATTGCAGACTTTTGCCTAGTCTTTAGCATATTACTCTGCCGAGAGTCCACCTACTGACCGACACAAATTATTGGCAGTTGGTAGTGACTAGTTCTGCTTGTACTACTGAGGCAGAACAGGGCGTAGCAGTTGGTAGTGAGTTATGGTAACCACTGCGACAGGCTACGATAAAGCAGATTCTTAACTGATGCGTTATTAGTCCCAATATCACATCTGGTTACTCACTCTTTCAAATTTCCTCGCAACGTACCTCTGCTTTACTTGATCGATACCTGTCGGCTTGAGCCGGTTACACAGCTGACCATGAGGTCACGCAAACGCTCCACAAAGCATCTTCAGACTTCATAATTGACAACAGTACCTCAATTGCAACCTCGTAACATCTAATTATGCTTGTATGCTTTTGCATCGCTATAATCATTAAGGATTCCCCTTGACTCGTAATTCTCCATTTTTGGTGTGCAAGGTGACAATAAATCGGGTGAAATACGCGTTATCCGCGGTCGCCTTGCCCGTGTAGGTCGCTTGGCCTCTGGTGTGATGACGAATGTCACACTTGGGGCTTCTGCAAGTCCATCAATAAATCTGTTTCGTGTTTTTAGCACGAAGCCGGGTTTTTCACCTGATGACGATGCACAAATCAAAGTGGTGTTTTGAGAGGCGCAAGCTACCACCTCAAACCAATCAAAGCTGATTTTGGGGATGATAGCCCCGGTGTTTCACAGTGCACCACCACGGGCGACTTCACTAACCCCGAAGTCACCCCAATTCCAATATTGGTAATCTGACGATTGTCAGATAGTAAATTTGGCGTCCATAGTCATGTCAGTTGCCACATCTAATTTCTTTGCATAAACTATAATGCCGCCAATTCGACCGGTGATTATCGTCTCACGCTGATTTTCGGACGGATTTAGCAAAAAAACCCTGTTAGTGTTACCAAGAGAACATTTTTATGATGTCCACTTTAAAACCTATGCATTCCGATAGTGCACACTCAACTACGAGATGCAGGGAACACTGAGATGATTGAACTGCGACGGAACCTTAAATAAGCACTTGCCAATTGTCAAAGTCAAAATCAATACTGCACTACTGACACAAATAAAACATTAACAAGACAGAAGGCAAGGGAATTGATCGGCTAAAATGTGGAAGTACTGAATCCAGTTAAACTGGCAACTGACTTGACGGACTTTGGTAGCCCTAAGACCTGAAAACGGTTTATACCGTCACGAATTACTTAAGAGAAAAGAGAACTTTGCCGTTTATTAAAGATATACTAAAATACAACAAAGAAGAGGAAGATATGCAGGAGATGCAGAAAAAGCTTTTCGGCGGTATACAACACACTACCTGTCCGCCGCAACCCGCCTGTAGCGCTCATACACCCTCCTTCGGAAGGCATTTTTAGCTGCAATGGGAGTGTTGGAAACACCCAACTCAATGACAAGTCCAATCCCAATGAGAACATGCTCCATAAAGAACAGCGTTCCGAGGCTCCAATCTGTGCGGCAGGCAAGCAGGCAAATGTTCGTAAAGAGTGCCAACCAAGCCTGCACTGAAAGAAGCATTAACCAGATGTTTTGGTCCCTATGCAGCAATTGCGGCATCGGCCGTCTCACGAGCTGGAGTAATTTGAAGGCGTCGAAGTATGATTCAACCCACGCGCAAACGAGGGCCATACAAGCGAGGTAAGGTGGACAAGCAAAGGCAAACAAAACGATGTAACCATGTTCGAGAACCATTTCGAGGAAGTCATCGAATGGCTCGTACTCCACTCCGAAGACAGCATTGTGTACCGCGGTGTCCTGATGTTGCGGGTTGTCTGTCTTTTTGTAAAGCGCGGACGCTGATCTACGGCTGCGCCAGTGAGAACTCGCCCATGGAACGAGACACTCGGCAATGAGACGCCGGATAGAATCCGTTGCGAAAGTGGTTAAAAGGAAGGACTGCAAAGCAGGCCAATCTACTAAAATCATGCCGAGATGGAAGGGTGAAGCATAAGCGTCAACGGCCTCAAACAGAAAACGCTTAACTATCAACGAACGATCCCAATTGGCCTGAGTCTACAAAAAAAACCAGACCCTCCAAGAGACGAAGGGTTTCAGATGTTTAGGCCCTTCAAATGCTTGAGAGAAACACGGATTTCTTCTTAAAACGGATAACGCCACGAAGAACCTTAATCTCTATCACCTCTACCTACCTACCGTGACAGAGTTCCACTAAATCGCCAAGTCTAAAATTAAGTTCTAGTTTTGGGGTCCGGTCTGGATTTGCATAGTTATTACTTCCGAGCTGATTTATTGGATTTAAGTTTGCCAATAGGTATTTACACCACACCTTAAACACATGTTTCTTCAACGGTGCTTGAGCTGCCGTGGTAATATGTTTTTGTGGCGCGCAAAATCTAAGTAACTCGACTCAACACCGGATAAAACCAACGCGGTAATCAAAACCAGAAAAAGTACAGAAGCTACAATAGCACCAAGTTGTCAGACAATTAAAGTTCTAACTGAATTCACAATACCTCAAAAATGCCTAAACAACCACCAGGAACGTAAATTATATGGATGTCATCTCAAACTGTGTTCACACGAAATAACATAATCAGAAATCAGTACTGTAAGATTTCAGTAGACACAATTTCAATCTAGAATATTTTACCATAAACGTGCATGCAGGTGGCGTGGTGGGACCTGATCACGAATATTCAAATGAGCCATTGCACCCAATACCATCACAATAATTGGAGAATTCGCTAGATAAATGAATTTCGGTCACATGAACATCAGTTGCGGATAGAGAAAGCTAGGCAACGTCTTTTAAGTATGACCTACCACAGAACACATTTTAGACTCATGCTTGGTGCGCCGTAGTAAGACAAAACTCCTCCTGAACTGCCCCATGATTGTGGAAGGGATACCTTGCCAGTAGTTTTAGCAGAGGAAACAGTGTATCTGAGGTTTGGTTCCTTCAAGCCACCGTTTATTCAGGATCAAGTACAAACGGATGTGGTCTTATGATAGACTGTTTACACTGAGGGTTGCAACCAGATTACATGATAACTAATTTTGGTTTCTACTAATTTTGCAGACATACGCAAGAATTGTTTTGAACAAAAGTGACAGAGCTTTGCACTCGTTCGCAGCAACAGTTTGCACTGCAAGACTGTAAGTCTATGATTGAGGTTCACAGATATTTGGTAAAGTACCAAAATTTTGAACCACCGAATCTTGCGTTTAGCCTCACTTGGTCCAAATTAGATAAAGACATATCAGAAGCCGTCAAAAGCACCTACACTTCCCACTGCCATGGTCAAACGAGTAAAGGGTTTTGGAAGAACTGTCCGGAAAGTTGATTATGGTCATGGTTACTGAAACACGCTCACAAACAAAGAATACACGACAGTAGATTAAATAGCTCGAATTTCATTTGCATGCAATGTCCAAATCCCAATTATGCAAATAATAAGGGGTGAGGTTCGGGAATCTTGATATCAAGGCCCGAGAAGGGAGAATTGATTGCTCGGTTAAAAATTTGTTTAACAAGCTAATTTAGACAACAAGTGGAAATGTAGGATTTTGGCAGTTAAGACTGTACTCAGTGGAGCGTCAGGCATCCGACATATGCATATCGCAAGCATGCGGCTTTTGTAAAGGAGAGTTTACAGCACCAAATACCACGAAGAAAAAAACAACAGCCAACCCAACTCGCGACTGCCAACTACTTATAGGGACTCTTGGGTTCATAGTGGCCCAATCACTCCAAAGACCAAAGTTAACGATGAATTCTACAAAATATTCAGGACATACGAGTTTTTTTGTTACTTTTTGCAACGCGACAGACCTTAAAGAGAAAGTTAACATGGGAACAAAGTACGCGTTTAGTGAACTTGTGAGTCCAAACACCAAAAAGAATAAACCGAAGAAAAGCTAGCAACGGCTTCTAATACAGCGATGGAGCAAGTTACCCCAAGGGCAGACCTTGTGCGCTCACCCAGGAAGTCAAACCTTACCATCCTCAGATTTCCCTTCATCGATTTGTCTAATCAATGAAGAAGTTTTGGCAAAGTGCTGAACCTTGGATGAATCTAACTAAGTGGGATTGCGTCGGTGGATAGAGAAGCCTGTGTCAGCACTGCGTTTGATAAGCATTATCTAGCCAAAACTGTTGCTTACGCATTTGAAAAACAAACTCTGAAATTCCTTACCTCGCAGGCATGAGAAGGAAAGTAAAATAATCCACCCGAACCATGACCTAACACTGATTACCAAGGGGCTGTTACGAGCGTGTACAACACCTTCGACAGAGTTTGGGCATTGTCACCACGAAAAACTGGACCATTAATGAACAAGTCAAATTCAGTAGCACAGACACTAAAACAATCCACACGTCCCTCTAATTTTACCGCTTTCGTCTGTTCCTTGGTGTAATGCTTTTCGCACAACTAGTGCACCGCTGTCATGCAGAAACACGCGTTTCAATCACTAAGCCAGGTCCGGTGCACACCCACTGGCTTCTCAAATGTGCCGATAAAAGCCTGACTACACAGATCCTTACTTAAGCACCCACCGCAGAGGAAACCAGGTGGTGCGAATGTAAGCACGAGGATCTACTTCAATTTGAAACTTCGTCTATTTAAACGCAAGTGTTAATAATGGATGTGCGTTAGAAAAAGCTCTCGTTTCTAAACCACGAGGAAAGGGTCATTTTAGTTTGTTGATTTAACAGAGGAAGACAATCCGGTTTCACCAGCGATGACGGCAGTCTTACAAATTATCAACCTTATATCGGAGGTAAGGCAAAACACCGATGTAGGAGTACAATTTTGGTCGATGTTGTTGACAAAACTGGTTAAATTGTTTTTTCGAATGGCACAACTACCACAAAAATTTCCACCCAAACTACCACAAGGTATCCGCGAAAAGAGTACAATAGGTCAGTTTAATGTTTGAGGTTTAGAATGCCGATGCGTTGCAGTAAAAATTGAGAAATCATTTGTTAAAATTCACCTAGTTTGGGACCCAACACTGGATGACATCATACTACAAAAATGAAAGCATTCTGGAAGAAACTGGTCCCCAACACAAGTGATTCTCTACAATTTGATCTTTTTATTAGCCATTTGAAAGAACATCGAGACGAGAATTGCACGACGCGAATTCCCTGCCGAAACCGGGCTTTTCTTAGGATTGGCCTTGGCCCGGGAAGTCAAAACACCATGGAAAGCCCAAGGTCAGGGTGACTTGTTACCAAGTAAAATGACCTACCTCGTGATTTTCCATGTCTGTGAGGGACTCTGCGATCCGGCGAAAAACGATCTGGTTTATGAAGAAGACGATCAGCGGGTGAAGGATACCTGGAACGAATTTAAGTGAGCCAGCCTTTGGGTCAAATATCCTTCCAGGATCGCACAAGCAGGCGATAAAACGAAAGTGAAGGTGTGGTGAGCGACTGGGATTGATCAGACCCTGCGGGATAACAAACTTTGCATTAGCACCAAAGGATTCCAGTCTCGAGATACGATGTATGGCAGACCAACTTGTTCTTAAATGCAACCCATAAGTTAGGGTGATGTCTAAGTTAAAATTTAAAAAAGAATTCGTTACACTCCAATCCTAACATTTAGTACAACGTATTTTGATGCAATTTGTCGAGGGGGATGGTAAACGTCGTATTCACTGTTAAGCGAATGCTTATACAACGAAAAATTTTTAGACTTACATAAATATTGCTAAGTAAAATTTAGGAAAAAACATACGGACCAAATACCGTATCGCTGCACAAACAACAAATCGTTTAACTCTGTGAGGTCGTTCGTTTGCACAATAAATGAACAGTGAATTACACGGTTAGATGGACGTAAGAGGTTTTGCTTGTTGCAAATGTACCCTTTTTCTCAGCTGGGAGTTGGATTGGTTATGGTTATGAAATCATACGAGAAAAGAGCAGCGCGGGCCTTCCGGGCATTATTTCAATAATTTGCTTAACCTGTTAGTCAATGACAGTAAGCACATCATGCCCCACAAGGAGACTATAAGTATCGAAGAAAACGACGGGAAAGTGTAGTTTGAAATAATCAGATATAACGAGTAAAACATATGGATAAATTAGCTTTTTCGAGGCAAATTAGAAGGGAGAAACTTGCCTCCAAATTCATTAAGAGCACATTTATAAAGAGGGCAATGAGAACGCAAAAAAACGTTATCGATGCTGAGATGAGGTAAAGAATTCGTCGTCTAGATGCGGGAAAGTGCAGCTCAATTTCGCCTGTAACAGGACTCTCTCGTTCGATACCATAAAATGAAGGACGCAGTTGGTTCATGTGCGACTTTATCCAGCCAGACATGTCAGCTGCATTCACAAGAACTGGTGATAGCCATTCCTCTGATAATTGAATCTGCTGCCGTCGCCAGATTTTTGTGCATGCAATCGCCCAGACTATTACAACCAATCCATAATAAATTCGGAAAATTGAAATTGGTGGTGGTCCGGAAGGAATCTCAGGATCGTCTATTCCGCCATCTTTAGATGAAAAAATACTTGCTATTGCTAAAATCACCCATGTCAGTAGGCCCACACTTGAAGGGACAATTAGCGCAAGGCAATAGTAATGTAGCCAAGCAAAATAGAAGCCAATGGCATCACCAAGGTACCAACGCAGCCAGTTCACTGAGGGGAATAAAGGAGACTGACTACGAAAATTGGCCCAAACAGTTGCTCGTTCTGATATATTGTGGATTGGAGTCATTTCCTTAATAAGTTCCTCCGATTTCATGCAGAATAGGGCAGATTCCCTTTCAAGCGACGCAATCGGAGGAGATGGATGGGTTTTCGCATGGGCCTCCACTTGCGCGGAGGATATCGTGTCGAAGTCCTTGCATGATTTAAGGGCAGATAAAATTTCCTTTTGTTCCGTGCTAAGTTTAACCAGCCGAACAGCGAGACCACCAAGCCACGCTTTTTGGGCTGGAGTTAAGGTTGCAACTCCTACAGCCGTACCTAGGAACAGTTTGGATTCCACGAATGTACAAAGGTCAAATAACAGTGATATACTAAGCACATAAACCTGTTTTAAAAGCTTAATATAATTTAAAAACAACCCTTCAGCATTTCAAAAGACGCTTACAACAACTTATAGATTCTGCAAAAGGAATTTGAAGTTTCTCACGGCGAGCAATATTACAGACTTAATAGCCTGTTTTATCTTCCGCATGTGAGTTGCGATATGAGCTAAGGCCAAAACATGAAGGCATGTAGAAAAAACGTATCCTAAAACAACTAAGCAGACATGACTTACCAACATTATTTTCATCCGCAAACACTCCAGCGAAGCATTGATTTAGAACAGAGACACAGTGTTGGAGGAGAGGCCGTGATACCCGCACAAGGAGATAATGCTTTTTGTGGAGGGGCTTTTGGTCACTTACAAGGTCACTAGAACAGCATGATGATACGTCAAGCTTGTGACTTTCATTTGCAGAACTAGCAGAGGACAACATCTCGGCAAGACGAATAGAGGCAATGGAATTATGCTTTGATCGATGTTCTGAGTCATTTTGCGAGCATGCGCACACGGTCATATAAAACTCTGCCTCACATGTTACACAACCATCCATGGCTAAACAGGAGCTAAAAAAGATGTGGATTAAGTTTTACAGCCCTCAGAAAAAGGGGTAGAATAAAGACCCACCAGCATTTGAAAAAACATCTACAAGCAGCATTAACATCAAACAGGCTGAAGTCAATAGCATGTAGGGCATAAGGTGTGCTAAATCTAACTACTACTTCTATCCAGAATTGGTATGAGTGAACAATGTTGAGATGCCTGAAGTACCAAAATTAAACCGATCCTATGTTGCTAGTTGAACCTATCGGATTTATGAGCTTAAACACAAACGAAATAATCTGCGTTATTCACCTAACTGATACAAATTGTGTTATCTCATGGAAATTCACAATCCAAGTAATTTAGATGAAATAATGCGTGCTTCGATTCCAACCTCTTTAAAAATCAGTCCTTGAAATACCAAATTAACTAGCATTTCCAAACCGGCCTTTATTAACATCTACTGATTGCAATTTTGCATAAAAAATCTGACAGAATTATGATTAGACTTAAAGGTAACGCCTGTTTCCTTGTGGTACTCCGCAAATCACGGGCAGAATAACAGAAAGACATACAGCAAAGGAACCAACTTGCGCGCTAAATTACACCACAGGGTAAATTGATTTACAAGTTAAACATACTTCATGATTCATCTTAAAAGCCGATTAGTTATTAGGATTAACGTTTTTCGTAAATATGTGCCTTTGAAAAGTGATCGTAGACGGTTACGTTAGTGTTGACACAAATATCAAGCCAAAACCTTTCATGTGCTCATTGTCTACCATCAATCAATTTCATGTAATTTCTGCACCCACAAACCGGCAGACAGAAGTCGTATACCAGGTTTAACCATCAACTTAGAGTCATTTTCTAGGTGAATTTATTTAGTTCAAAAAATAAAAGTAATGAGTTTCATTATTGATTTCGCTTTTAAAATTGTACCTAAATAAGTATTGATATTTCGTGGGTTCAACTTATATAATTAAAAAAATTTCTGAAGTCGACAATACATTTGCAAAATTTGTGCAACACACCTGCAATCACCTACAGTATATATTGGATTAGATAGTTGATATTTTGATCCTGCCAGAATGGGACATCAGAAAAACGAGTATTGTCCGAAGCACCATGAACAGCGATGATGCCTCCGTACAAGGACGACACCTGTAACGAATTCCAGTCCACTACTGCACCTACGATCTCAGTGATAATCTCCTGCGACAAAGCATAACCACCTCCTTCTCCCCGTAGGCGGTACCTGTCACCTTCTTCAAGGAGAAGGATGGGACTTTCATTCTGCATAGACCGATGGAAAATCAGCTTAGTAACAGCCCGAGAATCTCTTTCCTTACAGCGCATGGACAACCTCCTTAGCGTTTTATTCGGACAATAGTACTACTTTATTACTGACTTATCCAGCAGCAGCTGGCAAATCGAGATGTATCCAAGGCACCCGGCAGAATACGTCGATCACTCTGCCTTCTGGCCTTCACCAAATGTGCACCATTTATTTATGAGTTTGGCCAACGCAGCACCCAGCTGCCAATGCGTAATACAGAAAGTCCTACGCAGTTTCCTCCCTTTGAGATGCCTGGTCTTTCTGACTGATGTGATCGTGTTTGTTTTGACTAAACGCGTTGCCTAATGCATTGTGCTCATATCCTCTACGTACACACCCGAAAATGATTGACTTCTAGTCCGAAAAAAATGTTGCTTTTGCAGAATTGGATCTGGTGCCATGTTTATGTAATGTCGAAATCC